ATATATATATATATATATATATATATATATATATATATATATATATTGTTCTTGAATTACAAAGATCGAATAATTACATATTTATGTCCTCTGATTGAAATGCACTTGTAACGTAGGCCTTGAAATAAATTAATATGATTTAAAGCATTTTTATGTATAAAAGCAAAGAAATACATCCATATTAAAGTCACCAGCAATTTTGCAATCTTTTATGCAAATATACAAATTGCCTGTTAGGTAATGCATCCCTCTAACAGGGGTTTTGTTCAAATATCGTTTTTTCTTTTCTTTATATGAATTATTAAATGTTTTAAATATTATACTTTATATTGTTTGATATCCTTGTAAATATATAACTATATTCTATAGATTTATAAGTTGTAATGTAAACATAATATAGAAACTGTATTATATAAATAATACAATTGTGGTATATTATAAAGATACGTACATATACACTCGTGCGCGCGCGTACACACACACACACACACACACACACACACACACAGAGAGAGAGAGAGAGAGAGAGAGAGAAAGGATAAAAAGATAATTATACTTAATCATTTTAATAAAATAGGATATTAATTATCTAAACAGAGCCCTTTTAAGTAATGGGACTGTACAAATATGTCTATAAAGTAATAAAAAGCAAGTAACGTTGAGAAATAATAAGGAAGGAAATCTTCAATTATTCATCTTTAAGGCACAGAAATTTGCATAAAAGTATAAGCATGAAGTGCTTCAATTAATAAAACTCTCGACATAACTCATCGATACAATTTCACAGAATTTATACTATTTGTTCTGTTGTTCGAGACATTCATTCTTAATGCTTATTTTTCTATATAAATTTCTGTGCAACGGGCTCACAGAAACAAAAGCACAATTTTTGCAACATCAATCATACTCATATAAATCTGTATCGGAAAGAAATTTAGAAAGTATCAAGCATGTGTACTGTAGCGCTAGCCTATACATCAAATGCTAATATATTGCGGTAATTTCCAATAAATTTATGTTAAATTTTAATTGTTTTATGTACAAAGACATGATTAAACGATTTCAGTCCCGAAACTATAGTTACAGAAATACTTATTATTATCCTGTCATCCTTGTACCTAGAAAATTAGAATATTTAGTATTATGAAATCACTATTAATATAGTAATTGTGGCGGGGTCAGCCATCCCGCCACAAGCGCGCTAGCGGGGAGCACACACTTCTGCACAACGCATAATGCGTAAGCATAAAAAAAATGATTGGTCCATACACATATGCATAAGGAAATAGACCAATCAGTTCTCTTATATGTTTACGCATTATGCGTTGTGCAAAAGTGTGTGCTCCCCGCTTAAGGGGATCCTATAGCGAAGGCCGAACTTCCTCGACGTCGGTAATGTCAACATTTCTAATCCTGTTTTCTATGTTATATATCTATGTCTGTCCTTGTCTAACCAGAGGCATCTGTCTTTGTTCGATTGCTGCGCCATCTCTCGCTACACGCAATACTGCTTATCCTGTCAACCTAAATGTGCTTTTGCTTAATAAAACTTCATTTTACGGAATCTTTTTTTCTAGACGTTGAATCTTAGTTTTATTTACACGATATTGTTCCTACATGTTGTCCCTACGTCGCCTTGGTGTCATTATATATATATAAACTGCAATAATTTTGTTATTGTCGTCAGATGACAGTTGTATATGCCCAAATTAGTAAAATTTTTAATTTTTTTTTTGTTCCCGATATGAAATCGTACAACGCGATGTAGATTTTTGTGCATACTTTAATTCTAGACCAAAAACTTGCAATTCTGTAAAGCCAATTCAAAAATTCCTTAAAATGAAAAAATGTCGGTACCCAGCAAACGAAAAAAGATTGAAAAGAATTAAAACAAGATTGCCGGGAATTCAATTAAGGACTTTCCGAATTCCATTCTGTCCAAAAAAGGGATTGAAATAGTTTTAATATCGTGGAATTCCTTATTTTGGAAAGAATTTGTCTTTTTTGAATCCCATCCAATTCCGACACAAAAATATTATACCACTGAATGCCAGGTTAGGGATTGGAAAGTTTCGTAATGAATTCCATTGAATACCATTGATTCCGTTAACGAAATGAATACCATTGAACGCCAAACTAGGAATTAAAAATTTCCGTATTGAATTTCATTGAATTCCATCTATTCTGACAATAAAATGAATACCATTGAATGCCAGGATAGGGATTGAAAAGTGTTTGTGTTGAACTCTGTGGCGGTACGCGCCAACAATAGTACACGCCCGCGCGGTATCTGCATTACCGGCAATTCGCGTCGACGCCGCTAGGCGTCGCATCGCCGGGGCATCTTCTCGAGTTCAAAGTTTCGTCTCGACCGCTATGTAAAGGGACCCCCTACGGTTCCTGACAGATCTTACAAATCTCATTTTCGGGCTAATTGCCCGTCGGCAGTAGTGCGTGTAATGTCCTTATAGGCATACACAAAAGCTCACCGACGAACAACGGCGCTTGGTCGCCCAACGGAGGCGCGAGACGTTTCCTAAACCATATCTAATGCCATGCAATTCCATAACCTTTACGGATTCCATAGAATTAAATGGAATTAAAAATTTCTTTTTTTGGATTCCATGGGATTGGACCATCTCATTTCGAATCCCATCTAATTTCATCTAATTCCGCCAAAAAAGGGATTTAAAGGTATTAAAAAATTTTAATATCTTTTAATCCTTTTGCGTTTGCTGGGTAACTACCGCCACTATAGGATCCCCTTAAGGGGATGCTAAAGTGACTCAATTACCGACAATTACAGTCAAAGGTCTAATTTTGAAACGGCTTTATTGATCGCAAAATCCTTTTACAGGAGTAAAGTATAGGTACTAATGAAGGGTGAGAATGTAAAATAATTAGTAATAATTGAAAAAAATTAAAAATGCTGTTACCTCATTTTCTAATATAAACAGTTGTATAAGTAATATGTACGAAATGAAATGTTTCCACCCTTCAGAAGACGTGCACAAACAATAACGTACCTTTGAAATTGAGATTGAAAGCCTGAAATAAAAATGAGACGATCGAAGAAATTATAACCTATAACCATGTCTATTGTAAGGTAGATAGCACTTAGTGCATCAACTCTATAATAGAGGACGC